AATCTCAGTCAGCATATCCAGTGTCCTGGCTATGATTCAAATTAGTACCTCTGGAATAGAAATCAATGGGTTACCACTCATCCAACCTGCTCAGTCAAATGTGGGATCTGAGGTCCTTACAGCAGTGATTATGAAGAGCTCTGTCTTCTGGGATGTAACACCATGTAGCCCTCTGGAAGCCAACCAGTGTTCTGAAAGAACATGTTGTATGCTTCATGGCGGGCTCTTGCTTGGCTTATTCTTTGGCCCTGAAGCTGGAGACAACATAGTCCCAAAAAGACTGGCTGACTTTCAACAGATTACAGGGTATTATATCCTAGAGGGCAGAATTCTTGCTCACTCAGTGTACCAGATTCTGACCTCTTAATAGCTGACTTTCTGTAACAACAGCGTCTACGGATCACACACATTGTTTCAAAACAGTACATGAAGGAAAAAGTTCTACAGCATTTTCTCCTACTTCGGCACTGCAATTTAATGAAATTTATAAAACATGAAAAATGAAGACAGATTAATTTATTAACTGACAAGGGAGAGCACCAAACAGTCACAGGTATTATCTTTATCGGAGATAAGGAGAAGAAAAGGTACACTATAACCCCAAGTCAGAAATCCAGTGTCCCAACACTAACACAAAATTTCCCTTTGTGTAAATATAACAGAGGAACTATAATCATACCTGTCACATGTTCTGTGCTCTTATTCTGCTTCAATGAACCTAAATAAGAATGCCATGTTGTTTTGTAGGAATGAACTTTATCCTTTTCCGTTAGTTCAAATGTATATATAGATGCACTGTCTCCTCTGTTGAAAAAATAAACATTATTCAATTCAATTCAATTTATTTCAAATTAAAAAACAGATCCACATACAGGCTGGGAAACAACAATACTGCTGACAAAATACACTGACCATACAGTATACACTAAGTAACTACACTAAGCAGATCCTTGTTAAGAAGCTAATAGTCACTCAGCTACTCAGAAATTCCTTATATTTTCTGGTTCTCAAAGGTCCATTACCATGAGATATGAGTTTCATTACAGTGCTCACAAGAACCTGCCATTAGGCTTTTTCCTTAGTCAAATGAATTCAGTCCACATGAGTTCACCAAATATACATGTACGATCCACTGTAATATTATTCTCCCACATACACTTACACCTTCCTAGTGGTATGTTCCCTCCATGTTTCCCACCAAAAATACTGTATGCAATTCTCCTCTCTGACATGCATGCTACATTCCCTGAACACCTGATCATAACAACACTTGGTGAACATCACAAATTATAAAGTTCCTCATATGCAGCACTCTATAACCTGTTATTTCACCTTTCTTTGGATCAAATAATCTCCTCTGTACTCTTGTTATCGAATACGCTCAATCCATGTTCTTCCTTTAACATCACAGACCAATACAAAATACATTACATTAAAAGTCACAGTTACTTTCTTTCACAAGTCTTTTGTTTTGTGTGTTTAACAGTGCCATAACAGCTGTGAAACAAATATTATGTGACATAACAATTCATGGTTTAAAGTTTAAATGTTATATATTCCAGAAACACAAGTATATTAGAAATGAATCAAATCAGCATACTTCAATTACATGAACAAATGTAATTAAGACTGATACCTACACTGAATTTGTTGGTTGGATTCGCTGCAGACTACTGATTGTTCTAGCAGAAATATGAGATGTGCTAGAACTTGATGAGATAATGCTGCCTCCACAGTTCCACCTAGAACTCCATAATTAAAAGTACTTCAGTAAGTCACGCTGGGGCAGGTTTTCTCTGAGTACTTCAGTTTCCCCTGCCAATCTTCATTCCACCAATTGATTCACAATCACCCTCACCTATCATCTGGGGCTGGTACAATAGGCCAGAAGTGGCCGCAGTGCAAGAGACTTAGTCCCACCCCACTAGCAATAAGAAAAAACTTGAAATAAACACCTGTCACTTGTTAAAAGGTGCAGCTTTGCTGATACAGGAAAACCTAACACACAGCAATACTTCCAGAAGTAAAAGTTGAAAAATTTAAACTGTCACACATACAGAAAAACACAGAAGTAAAACACATGCAATCCATTTATTTTTTCCTTCTGGAAAACATACATGAAAGCCTCACATATAATAAACCAGTCCCCAGTAGAATTCAGGGAGTAAACATGTTCATCTTGCTATGGCTGAATCTTAGGTTACCCAACACTGCTATTTAAAGTGACAAGACAATATGCATGATTTCAAATGACACAAGAATATTGGATTTGGAAGAAGACAGCTGTAACCTATTCCTGGTAATCACTTGAAGAAACTGAGATATCAATTATAAAATTCAGTAAGGGCTATGATTTGAACTAAATGTCTTTAAAATGCAGGCTTAAAGCACAACCATTCATAAACATGCTTCGTGAACTTCAACATCTTAGCAAACACATGGAAATCAACTTTTAAAACTGTAACATACTGATTTTCACCCAAATCATTAATTCTGTTACTCATATAACACCTGTTTTTGTCTGTTCTTTTAATAGCAATATAATGACCAATGACCAGAAATGGAGGAACCATATGTTTATTTATTTAATGCTGCTGTCAGAAACTCAGACTATACATAAGCACATAATTTTATGTGAATAATGATTTGGAAATGATAGGGAGGGCAGCAGTCATGGACTAATGTAAGGTACTATCCCAGAATTTGTCTGGAGACACTGAGAAAATGTTATGTTATGTGATATATGATGACGTTCAATTGATTGGGCAGGAGGCCAATTAGACTAGAAAAGTTGTACGTGTATGGGACTTGTTCGAGAGTTACAATTTGTAACTGTGATGAATGTTAAATAAAATTATTATTATTATTATTATTATTATTAATTAAAATCATGTCAAGGCAGTCAGTGTCCTGGCCAAGATTCAACCCAGGCATCTCATGAACACCAGTCACAATATTACCACTTCATCTAAATTGACTGGTAGGAGTTACCAAAGCACCTGTCCACTGCCAGGACATTTCTTACTACAAACCATACTGAAACCATTAAATAAATTACTTATTATGACAATCTTACAAATACATTATCCCCTTTTATCAACGTCAATTACCACTGCTGTACAGTAATTTGTTTATGCATTAAAAAGTTGTGAAGTGACAAAACGCTGGTGCACACAAATTGCTTCTGCACTATAAAAGACCTGTTATAGTTGCATATCAATGAATCCAAAAGGTGGAAAATTGAGGACAGAGAAAATCTGTGCTCCAGAGATGTCTGCAATGCAGAGGCTTCACTGTAAATGAATACCGTTATCACTCCAGATGTCAGTGCATCATCTTCTGCATGTAACAGCAAAGAATAAAATTGAAGGCATAACAAACAGAATACTACCAACGCTTCATAGAAATTATCTCAAGGTCAAAGCAGCAACACAGTACAGTGATTTATGTATCATAATGGCACAATTTCTCACAGCAATCCCAGTGCTGTGACTGGTCAGAGATCAAAGCAAATCATCAGTTGAATCAGAAGTTGCAAGACATCTTGTGGTCATCGAACTAAAGGGAGACACAAGCAACATTACAGACGTATATGGGTAGCCATGGCACCAGGTGTGCCCCCGACTTCTGTTCCCACCAAATACAGGTACCCAGTCATTTGAAGAATAACAGATCACTACACAAACAAGCCTAAAGCCTAAAAAATGGGCTAACAGGTTCCTACACTTCTTTTGCTTACATTTTTTCATACATATATTTTTTTCTAAATATGGTGCTACACCTAGAAGATAATTTAATTAACAATGATCACCACAAAAACTCATGTGTTGCAAATGACACTTGATTTTAGAGACATAAAATATAAAATTACTAAGACAAAACTTTCTAATCGAAAAACTGTTCACAAACTCTACCAGAATGTACTAATCTGGAAACTAGTATACAGAACAACACCAGCTGCGGAATGCACTGCTACAAGGAAGGAAATACAAAAGAAGATTTTCAGAGTTGTAGCTTTTACCTTTCATCCTGAAGATCAGTTTTGCTGAAATATTCCTGAACTTTGGCAATAAAAACTTTGCCAGTAACATCTGATACAGCAATAAAGTCTCCACTTGCAGACACTGCCAAGCCTGAAAACACTTCAAGGACCTCTGAACCTTGACCATATGGTAACAATGAGTACAGATTCACTACTCCAATCCGTTCACCACTGTCAACAGAATATGCAGCTGTCAGAATGTTAAGGAAAAGAACACTCCTCCAATTAATGACACATTAACAACATCACTGTATAGAGTGGGGTTTGGAAAATATGGTGCCTGGTTGCCAGTCGCAACCAAAAAATTCTTGCTGGTTACATATTTCTCACTTGATGGTCAGGAGTTGGCTTTTGAAAGTTAGGATGTCTCTTTCAGTCACTTCTAGCACAGAAGAAATAGTGAATCACATCTAAAGAATTATTTGGTTTTTCTTTTTACTTTTTCCATTGTCCAGAATTCTAGGAAACAGAAAAAACAAGGTTTCAAAAACTGGATGTTTCTGTCTTCGGGTGAGGAAGGAAGACACCTACTCAGTCGGGACCCTTAGAAAGAGCTAATCTCAATCGCTGGACAACACCTGTCAGATTTTCCCAGTTATTTCAACAAATATGACTAGGCTAGTTCAGCGGGAGACAACAATGTCATAAAATAAAAATTGTGATGGAGCATGCAAATGCATGGAACTAAGATAGAAAAGGACCAGTTCCACATTTCAAATCCTACATCTTTTCTTGCTACGAGGTAGTATCAGAAAGTTCCCAGACTGTTATTGTTGTAACTGACCCAGAGAAAAGAGATGAGAGGGGAGGCTAAGATCACATTTCTGCTAGCCTCTTGCATCAGTCTGCCACATGACACACCTCTGTGAAGACGCACTGTTTTTACATGAGTGTTTTTTTTCAACTTTGTGTTTCATTTCGTCTTTGATGGACGGCAATACCGAGCAACGTATCTGCATGAAGTTTTGCGTGAAGCTCAGTAAATCTGCTACTGAAACATGTGAAATGCTTTGGGAGGCTTTCAGAGAACATTCTTTAAGCCAGGCAGCGGTTCATGAAAGGCATTCACACTTCAAGGCTGGTTGTTGAGTGTCAGGTGAAGATGACAAATGTTCAGGGCAACCAAGCACCAGCAAAATGACAGATAATGTTGAAAAAATTCAAGAACTCATCAACGAAGACTGTTACCAAACAATCCATGAGATCGTAGACACTGCTAGGATCAGTTATGGAATTTACTTGCAGATCTTAGCAGAAAATTTGAACATGAGCCACACTGCTCCTTCATCACAACATGCCTGGCCACATGTCCCTGAAAACCACAGAGTTTGTGACTAACAACATGGTTATCGCTCCCCATCCTCCCTGTTCACTGGACTTAGCTCCCTGTGATTTCACATTGTTTCCCAAATTGAAAATGAAACTGAAGGGATGAAATTTTGAAACAGCATCTGGCATCCAAAGGGAATTGCATGCGATACTCAACAGCATTAAGAAAAATGACTTCCACAGTGCTTCCGAAGTGTGGAAAAAATGATGGGATCGCTGTATACATTCCCAAGGAGACTATTTTGAAGGAGATGGTAGCCAAATTTGAGTAAATTAAGCCAACATTTTTTTGACCTAGTCCGGGAACTTCCTGATAGCACCTCATATTGTCTTATGCCAGGCCTGCAGATGTTCAGGACAAACAATACAACAGGAAAATATTCATTCTGTGTGCCAAGCAGAGGTGTCAGCCATAGAACAGCATCATAAAATATTCCTCAATCAGATAAATACTTTCATTCCTCGTTTCTGCACCATATATTCTTAACAGTCTTCTTCTACTGATGCTTCACAACCGAATTCTTCATGCTTTTATTATTTCCACACCTGGTACACACACAAACATATCTCATTCACCTTTATTTCATCATCCAAAGCAAATGAGAACACAGTGCTGTTACATAACTCAACTGCAAATTCGATCAAACAATTTTCCCTACTATGTAAGAACCTGAAAATTAATTATATGTCAGTTGAAATGGATGAAGATCTAATGACAAAATCATCTCATGTCATAAAAACTCTCAAAATCAAAGGATACCAACATTTCCTCCAGTTGTCAAAGAATAAACATATTTCCTAGAACTTGCAATAGCTCTGCAGGAAGCAATTTCTATAATGCTCTTGATGGAAAGTGGTGCAGGGTACTGAATCCATAAACTTACAAGCCATCTATTTTCAACCAGAACTGTTAGCTGTGATTTAGAAAATATAACCGCTTTCAGTTCAGTTGACTCTGTTATCTCTGAAAAAAAGAAGAAAAGAAAGAAAATTAATTTTAGATTTTCTGTTACCATTCCTTTTAACTTAACATCTTCATTAATCATAGGCTCTCCATTTTTAGTAAATGGGTTTCTTGTCGCATGTTGTCACTTCTTCCCACCCAATCAGTAAGCACAACCCTTGTTCCACTCTCGCGTTCACGTTCAGACAATTCCTTGCTAGATTGTTCATTTGCAGTTTCTTTTTCATCTTCCAATTCCATGCCATCGTCAGAGTCTCTATCAAGTTCTTCGCTTAACAAAGCAGTAATTGAGACTTCATTCTTAACACACACAACATATTTACATTCTTTCATGCCAGAAGGCAGGCATCTATCTAAATGCAAAGCCATGTTGCTAACACCGATATGCAGTAGTACATAAATGGCATTCGTTCTAGTAGTTCAAATTAAGACTTCCAGATGGCAGAAGAATGCAGGCTAAACATTCATGATTGCAGGGGTATAGTATACAGCGTGGCAGCAACATATGACCTTCATACAATCAGAGAAACGTGAAAGAAACTCTGTGATCATATATTGACATTCGTCCATGGAAGCACTGTCCCAATGTCAATTAAATATTGATGTACAACAGGAAAGGGTTAATAACTTGATTCTCAAACATCATCCTCCAATCTAACACAATGTCTGCCGAGTGCTCTCTACCCTTTCCCAACATTCCACATGCATTTTTCACTTACTCCATGTATGCTACATGTCCTGCCTTTCTCAATGAACTGCAAATATTAAAAAAAGCTAGTGCTTTCTCTTACTACAGAAATTTGATGCAGCATTTTGTAGGTTAATTGACAAAAAATAAACATTCAGAGTAATTAAAAATGCAATACAAATATTATACATTTCTGGGCATTATCCATCGTCCTGTTTTTATTCTCAACACAACATTTCAGAAACTGGATTCTGTCTGTCTTCAGGTAAAACCTACTTAGTTGGGCCCAATTAACAGAGCTACTTCCTGTCTCTCTGGAAACCTGCACCAACACAAGATAGGGTATACAAGCCAAGCACAGCATAACCCATCTGCGAGAGTTAAGGCAGAACATTAAAAAGGCAAAGCTGAACTTCAAACATAGTAGCCGACAGCATAACTGTATCTTGATTACGCACAATCCCAATTTTATTTCGTATCATGTTATTTTATCAAGATTACAGTGCAGTGGAATGTGATACATGCCAATGCTTCAGAAGAAGCTCCTGCCCAATCTTCAGGGCAGAAGAAGCTGTACCCTAAAGACAGACAGACATAGCAGGATCCTTCAAAATGCTGACACCTGCCTATTGAACTATAGAGCACCACATTCTATACAACTGTAATGTTAATACTCATGGCCACAGGAACCTAAAATTTTCTA